TCTCCCTCTCTCTCTCTCTCTCCCTCTCTCCCTCTCTCTCTCTCTCTCTCTCTCTCTCTCTCTCTCTCTCTCTCTCTTTCTCTTCCCTCCCACCCCCCCATCGTCACATCCCATATTATTCCCATTTTATTACATCCTTCCCCCCTTCCCCTCTCCGTTCTCGACGTACGAGGATATGTAATGATATTATGATACCTTTCTGCCGTTGTTGGATCCTTGACTTAATCCCTGATAGTATAGAAATCGGGCCCCTGGGCGAGGTCGCATCGGGAGTTCAATGCGATCCCTACAGCTAGTATACAACGCATCAGATGATATTGACAATAACATAATATGTTAATATAGGTGCTCGTACTTGGCAGGTACCCAGTACCCGGTAGCAGGAGCAATAATACAGATTGGCAAGGAGATGTGTTCTGCGGTACGGAGTACAGACCGCTTCATCTCACCACCACCACCGACGATCTAATTAATTAGTGCAAACTCCTCCCTGTCCCTGTCATCCCCCCCCCCCCCCCCCAAAAAAAAAAGGAAGGAGAGAAGGATTGGGGGAGGGGAAGGGTCACAAGTACGAGATGCAATATGTACGATGGGCCGAATAGCGTGGTGATGTGCAGGGTTCTTGCCAATCTTCGTTGCGCGACAACTTTTGGGGTGCTCCTTCCTGTGCGTCTCTCTTTTTGCCGACACCCTTTCTTGATAATACTACGAATAGTACGTATTAGACGGTAATAAGTATTATTAAGCTGGCGACGATGCACAGGCATCACAGTATGTCGGTAACAGCAACACACACACACCGGCCAGGGGGGGGAGGGGAGGGGGGGGAAGGAGGGGAAAAAAAGAAAAGAAAAGAAAAGAAAGGAGGAAGGAGAAGGAAGAAAGCATGTCAAAGGGCTTGCTTGTTCCACTTCGTGATTCAGGTCAGGTGGAGGCCCCTAGAAGGGAGAGAGAGAGAGAGAGAGAGAGAGAGAGAGAAAAGGGGGGAAGGCCGGATAAAGAAATGGATATAATACGTCAATAGGCGTATAACCCACCATTTTACGGCGAGACGGGGAGTTGAGAGAGACTATCATTCGGTAATAAATAATAATACCACGAGGCGTCAATACTCTCCAGTACTCGTACTCGTACTTGGCAGCAGTAATGTGGAGTGCTACTACTACTATTACGACTATTACGACTACTACGACTATTACGACTACTACGACTATTACGACTACTACGACTATTACGACTATTACTACTAGTATGAATCAAGCGCGGTGGTATGATCCCCCCCCCCCCTACCTTCCTCGTAATTCGTCCCAAGTTGCCGCCGTCGCGGGATCGTCGACATCTCGGGTCTGCATCATAATACAGCAGGTCTATTTCATGTTAAAACACACGAGGGAACGATACCATGCCGACGGATATACCGTATCGCGCGTATTGGACAGACGGTTGACCAGTCTCTGAGAACTTCCACCGCTCATTTCATTTTATATTATCCTTTTCCTGGGTAATATCATGTCTCTGTTGGTCCCTCCATCTAACCCACACACTCGGTTCCCTGACACGCCGTAGTATGCTGGCCAGAGGGGTCGGGTCGGGTCGTGTTGGTTGGGTTCTGCGCATGGTCATAGTGCCGTGTCTGGGAACACGGCGTGGGTGGAATTGCAGAGTATAGGCAAAAATGAGGAAGTAAGGAAGCAGAAGAAGCAGAAGAAAAGAAAAGAAGAGAAAAGAAGAGGGAAAAACAAGAAAGCACGACGATATAGGGTAAAACGCATGTATCATGTAAATATGTACTGTAGCTAGCTGCACGTAGGAGAGGGAACAGCAACAGCAGCCTGTCGATGCACAAAGCCGTCATGGTACGTGTACTTCGCATGTATGAGTAAACTAGGCGATTGATCTTGGTCTCGTACGCACGTACAGATAGATGTACATGGTTATACCAGGCCGTAGATAGTCCACTGTAATCTCTCGCAAGTAATGATACATCGGCTGTCTGTAGGTACAAGCCAGCATCAGTGGTAGAGCATAGAGAGTAATACCTACAGGCCGTACTCGTACACATGGATAGCAGAGTACGCAGAGAGTATATGCTGTACCCCTTCCCCCCCCCTGTTCCCATCTCTCCAGCAAGACGCAGCATCAGAATCAGCACTGGATCGCATCTCATCTCTAAGGCTTGGGGGACCCGCCAAGGGTATGAAAAAAAAAAACACCGCCGGTATAGAGGAGGGAAGGGTGGTTGTAAGGCAGCGGTGTTTTCCTCGAACCCAGAACCCGCTCAACACAAGTCAGATCGGCTCTGCCCCCCCCTGCCCCCCCCTGCCCCCCCTGCCCTCCCCTCTATTTCCTGAATCATTGGACGCAATG